GGTGGAGGTGGAGGAGGTGGTGGTGGATGAGGAGGTGGTGTGTTAGTAGTGCCCCACTGGGGGCACTGTCATCAAGGAGATGTCGAATGTGAAACTGATGGTCTGTTCTGTCCACCTGCACCCAACTCACATTAAAAAACAAGAAACAAACCCAAACCGAGACTACACGCTTCTGTTGCTTCCCTATTTTATGCTCAATCCAAACAGATGTGACCCGACGCTGCCTGCCTGGGAACAGAGTGCCCACTGCCACAGGGACCACACTCCGGCTGCCAAGCCCGGGCTGACTTTGGTTCTGAAAATGCCCTGCAAACAGCAGGGTCTCGGAACAAGAGCTCTACCACACTTTCTGCAGGAAATGCGTGCTTCCTCCCAGCTGGGAGGCAGTGCTTTCCTTTGCTGGCCATGAAACGGCCCAGCCACCTCCCTGAGCTTCAACTGCGAAACAAGAGCATGCCTGGGAACGTCCGGGAATCCTGCTGGGCAGCATAGAGCCATCCCCTGCAGGAGTGGACACCCCGCCCCCCATGAGACCCCCCTCTCCCCTGCATCCCCAGCTGCTGAGACCACCTCTAAACAGGACAGGGAATCTTGGCCTTGGATGGGGCTAAGGCATCTCAGCGTGGGGCTTTCCCCTTGGACTCAACTCGAAGTCTGTCCCCTGGTCTGCGACAGGTCACTTCACCCACTGGACCCTGAGAGCTCTCTCACCTTCGAAAGCAAGGGTGTGGGCCAAGTGACTCCCAAACACAACGCCCACCCACCACCATCCTCTTCCGGCTCCAATCAGCCCGGCCTACCGAAGGCATGAGTTGATTCTGAGAGGGGTCATTACTGACTCAGCACTTGGCGGTGCTGAAGCCTTTGGGGGGAGGCAAGGGGGAGGAGCAGCAGCGCCCAGTCATCTAGCAGTTCCAGGGCGGTCCTGGTACCAGGCTTTGGCGACACAAAAATGGAGAAGGGACAAGCTGTCCCAAGTTTGGTCAGACGGGGGCATCTGAGGGGTGCCGCACCTGCAGAATGCCAGCCAGGCCAGCCAGCCTCCCAGACGTCACAAGCGCTGCAAGGGCTCTCTCTGACCTGCCGGGCGCAGGGCAAGCAGCGGCACTTTCTGGGCCACCCTCTGTGGGCACACTGGCTTCTGCCTCAGGGAGACAGAGCTGACATGCTCTCGACCCCCAAACACTCCTGGCTTCGAGAAGCTCCTTGCAAAGGCTGTGTGCCCAGCCCGCCACACAGCAGAGAGGTCTTGTGTCCGGCTGAGCGGGCCCGTGCAGTCTCCACGTGCAGCCCCCTCACCTCTGCAAACCCACTCTCCCGTCAGGGTTCCCCACCAGCCCTTTCTGCTCCTCCTCTGTCAAACGCAGGCTCAGCTTTTCCAAACCATTCCCAACTGGGTCCGCAGCTCTGAATTCCGACAGCCTCCAAGCGCTTGCCAGGGCGCCTGCCCTGAGCTGAAGTTCCCAGGCCAGGGCGTGATGGAGCTGGAGGAGCGGCGGGAAAGAGCCACCTGGCACTTTCAAAGGCTACCTGATCCCCATCTGCTTACCAGACTCTCGGTGGTAAGCTCCGGCTGATCCTGGATGGTGCAGCAGGGGAAATCCAGGACGGAGATGCTGCAGGTGCAGAGAGCACATGCTTAGGGGGAGGGCAAGGCTGGACACCGCACATTCCAGGGGCAGGGTTGTGCGGTGGTGTTTCAAACATGTCTGTCAGCCGCCTCCCCATGGAGGGGCTTCGGGCTGGCACTGACAGACAGGTGACAGCCCATCTCGGGCCAGCTCCAGTTTCCCCAAGACCAAAGGATATAGTTTTGCCCTGCAGCCCCCAGGGCCTCTGGGTGGGAGGCACGGAAGGCAGCTTGTGCCCCGAGCTGCCTCTACCTGGCTCAGGCCTCTCTCTGGCACACTGACCTTTCTTAAGTTGGTCAGTCTCCCTGAATGTGTTTCCTAATTGGTCAGACAAGACTGAAACCTGTCGGAAACCTGTCTCCGCTGTTGAGATGGTAAAATAAACCCTACTCACCCCCATCAAGTAGATGTCCACTCACAGCAACCCTGCAGGACAGGCTAGAACTGGCCTTGTGGGTTCCTCTGGACTGTAACTGTTAACGGGAGGAAAGCCCAGTCTTTCTCCCCACAGCAAGGCTGGGAATTTCAAACTGACCTTGTGGCAAGCAGCCCAACAGCTAATAACCACTACGCCGCCAGGGCACCTTAGAAAACAGCAGTGAAAATATCCCATTTCACTCTACTTCAACTACAAACACAGCTTCCTAGGTCGTATTATTTACCCATTTGGTGTGCCAGTGACCCATTTGGTGAGGCTTTACCTGGTCTACTCGGGAGTGTCACCCTGCGATTGACCCCGAGGTCCGGGTGCCACTGGAGCAGGTTGGTTCATAAGAACCACCTGGCTCCTGCGGCAAAGCAGCAACGTCCCCAAACACAGCTTCCCTTCTTGGCTCAGATCCCCTCAAACACCTCTGGGACGTGGGACACACACACACACACACACA